GCCTATACTTTTCACCCGTGCCAGTTTATCTGTATTGTTCCTGCATCGCAGATGGGGCAGCTGAGGTCCTAGGTGGTGAAATGGCACGTCCAAGGTCACAAACAATCATCGCGGCAAGCTGTATGGCTCAGCCACGGTGAGGGCTTCCCTCCACTGCTGCAGGGATCCTGGGGTTTAGTCTGGTGGCCGTGTTTCCATGCTGCCTGGTTCCGGGGGCAAGCTCGGACAAATCCCGTTGGATCCCACCTGAGGGTTCAGGATGAGCTTCTGAGTGAAATTCTAAAAGATGAGGAGGAGTTAGCTTCAGAAGTGGGCAAAACCGGGCCTTTCAGTCAGGGGGATGAGGAGGCATGCAAAGCCCAGAGGCGCAAGCAATTTGTTTCCACTGGGATGTCAAGTGGATGGCGGGGAATGGCTACAGACGTGGCTCTGAGTGTTTGTGTCAGGTGCAGTGGGGAGCTCCTGGCTCTTTCTGGAACTCTGACTCAGTTCTGTAGGTTTCAACCCAAAGTCCATGAAACTTCTGCGGAAAGGTTAACTTTTGGGTCTTACTTTTAGTGATAAGATAACAAACAAATGAGCTAATCATGTTTTGGATTATCCGGGAGGCGCTCTATGACTTACGTTGCCAGTTGGTTTCAGTGTTTGCATTTGCCTTTGTGTTTATGATGAGTTGGTGCTGAGGAGCGCCGCTTTAATGGTGTCAGCCACCGAACAGAGAATAGAGGACTTGGTTCTTCCCTCCAGGTGGCGTGAAGAGGGGGTTAGCAGAAGTTCTAACAGAGAGTGGCGGCAGAGGTGAGTTGTCACACGCCTGCCAAACACCGGGGAACTTGCGCTGGAGGGTCATGCTTTGTGCAGTCATCGGTTTCAGTAAATACCATCTGTTGCAATAAATTAATGTTACTAGTAAAATAAAGGAGTGCCTAGGCAGTTCAGGCAGTTAGGCATCTGATTCTTGATTTCGGCTCAGGTCACGATCTCGCAGTTGGTGGGTTTGAGCCCCACGTCAGTCTCCACGCTTATAGTGCCAAGCCTGTTTGAGATTCTCGCTCTCTCTTTCTCTCTTTCCCCCTCCCCTGTTTGCACTCTCTTCCTCTCTCAAAATAAACTAAACTTAAAAAAATGTTATTAGTAAAATACGTATTGGCTTGCTAATTTTGTTTCCATTTGATTGGTAAATTGCCAGATCTTTTATAGTTGGATGTGCCATAAATATATATTTACAACTAGCTGTCTCTACCTCTTTTTTTAAAACTTGTTTTATTTTTTATTTTTTAAAATTTACATCCAAATTAGCGTATAGTGCAACAATGATTTCAGGAGTAGATTCCTTAGTGCCCCTCCCCCATTTAGCCCATCCCCCCCGACACCCCCTCCAGTAACCCTCAGTTTGTTCTCCATATTTATGAGTCTCTTCTGTTTTGTCCCCCTCCCTGTTTTTATATTATTTTTTTCCCCTTCCCTTATGTTCATCTGTTTTGTCTCTTAAAGTCCTCCCATGAGTGAAGTCCTATGATTTTTGTCTTTCTCTGACTAATTTCACTTAGCATCATAGCCTCCAGTTCCATCCACGTAGCTGCAAATGGCAAGATTTCATTCTTTTTGATTGCCGAGTAATACTCCCTTGTATATATAGACCACATCTTCTTTATCCATTCATCCTTCGATGGACATTTGGGCTCTTTCCATCCTTTGGCTGTTGTCGACAGTGCTGCTGTAAACGTGGGGGTGCATGTGTCCCTTCGAAACAGCCCACCTGTATCCCGTGGAGAAATGCCTAGCAGTGCAATTGCTGGGTCGTGGGGTAGTTCTATTTTTAGTTTTTTTGAGGAACCTCCATCCTGTTGTCCAAACTGGCTGCACCAGTTTGCATTCCCATGTCTCTGTCTCTTTAGGTGACATTATTGTACAGATAAATTACCGTCACTGGGGGCACAGAGGACTTTTTTTTTTTTCCTTTCAGGAGAGCCACAGAAGGGTTTTAAGTCACGTGGTCAGATCGGCATTTTGAACAGAAATGTATGGGATGTGCAGGGTGGCCTTTCTATGGGCTGGTCAGAGCCTAACCAGGTCAGCGTAGGATCATCCAGAAAAGGATAGATTCGAGAAATGTTTAGGAGGGAAAACTGGTAAACTGGTAGGCTCTGATGACTGAAAGGGTGTAGGAGGTGAGGGGAAAGGCAGGACAGCCTGACCCTCGAGCTTCTCCCTGGGTGTAAGTGGATATTTTGTGGTGCCACTAAAGCAAGAGCCACTAAAGCAAGAAACAGAAAGGCAAGGGGCGTGAGAGGCAGCCCTGGATATTGGGACAGAGAGCTCCACTTGGGACATGACACATTCGAGGTGCCTGTGGGACGTCCAGGCAGTGGGCAGGCGGACCGATGAGCCTGGAGCTCGGGTCAGAGGCATGGCTGGCTGTGCAGACGTGGGCACGGTCAGCATTTAGGTGGCAGCCAAGGCGGGGAGACAGGACAGAACTGAAACCACCCAGGACTCAAGGGCAGGTTTAGCAGGGCTGTGGCGGGGTCCGTGGAGAGCCCTGGAGGTGGGCGTGTATAGGGGACCCCAGAATGGAGTTTGAAAAGGAACATCTTACTGGGGCGCCTGGGTGGCTCAGTTGGTTAAGCGTCCGACTTCGGCTCAGGTCATGATCTTGCGCTTCGTGAGTTCGAGCCCCGCATCGGGCTCTGTGCCGACGGCTCAGAGCCTGGATCCTGCTTCGGATTCTGTGTCTCCTTCTCTCTCTGTCCCTCCCCTGCTCATGCTCTGTTTCTCTGTCTCTTAAAAATAAACATTAAAAAAAATTTTTTTTTAAGAAAAGGAACATCTTAGGGATGGGAGGGAGACCTGGGGAGGGGTCGATCTTGGCAACTAATGGAATAAAAGTCGTCAAGGGTGGTGGTTGCAGGGAGAGGCTGAACAAGATAAGGACCAAAGTGTGATCACTTTGCAATGGGATATGGAAGTCACGGAAAAAACACAGCCCCACCCCTTTCTGGACACAGCCGTGGACTCCTGAGCTGCGTGCTTCTCAGGAGTGGCCCCGTCACTGAGGAGATTTGCCCAAAGGGATGGTACTGCCTGGCCGTGAAGGTGGCGGGGAGGTGGGGGGAGCCGCGTCGCTGGGGAGACTGGAGGAAAGAGCCAGCGGGAAGGGAAGGGAGGGTCTGGCAGGAAGGGCAGAGGACCACTCGGAGCACCTGGAGGACGGAGGACGACCGGGTGGGATGGGAGAGAGTGAGGCGTTAGGGAGCCGCTGCCACCGGCCTGGGAACTCCGGGAGAGGTGGGGTGGGCCGGGGTCCCTGCAGGCGCAGGGGTCTCTCCATCAGCCCTCAGCAGGGGAGTAGGGGTGAATGGGACGGGATGGACCGCACAGGCCTTGATACGCCGGCTTTGCTGTTCTGGTGACTCAGCACACCCGATGCCTGGGGACCTGGGATGGCTGGACTGCTACCCACCCCCGCCCCCCACTCCCTGCCGGCTTCCTTTTGAGGTTCCCGCGGAGGGCTGTTTGGGGCTCACCTGCTGGGAGGCAAAACCTCTGGCCCAACCGCAGGACCCAGGGGCTGAGGCCAGAAGCACAGGGCCCTGAAAGAAAAACAAAGAGTGCCCAGTAGCTATTGTGTTAACATTTCAAATGGAAACGACAGCTCTCAGCCCCATAAAGGGAGGGCTTCTTTTTATATTTTAATTTTTTATTTAATTTTTTATTGTTTTAATTTTTTAATGTTTACTCATTTTTGAGCGAGAAAGAGAGAGCGCGCGCGCGAGCGAGAGAGCACAGTTGGGGGAGGGGCAGAGAGAGAGGGAGACACAGAATCCGAAGCAGCTCCAGGCTCTGAGCCGTCAGCACAGAGCCGCACGCGGGGCTCGAACTCACGAACTGTGAGATCGTGACC